TATTTATCTTGAACTAAATAGAACCATGAATACAAGTTAACAAGCAAACAACATTCTCATGATATGGCAATATTAACAGAGTCCATACCGTAAGCTATGAACTGATTCAACTAGTCCTCCTCCCGCTTTGAAGAAACAACACAAAAGCTTAATAAATTTAAAGTAATCTTCCTTGGCACTACTACACCAATTTCCAATAAAATGGATTAACCAGTTTCAAGCAATATTAAATCATGTTCTAGTGAAATGATATTACTAAATACTATATGGAAAAAAAAAAAAAATTATTACTTTTATGCAAATTTAGAACCATGAATAGCACATCATTACAAAATAGAAAATAATAATCCCTAGTTGTTTTCCAAGGGAAAACAACTATTGCTTCAAGGAATCAAAATTTTCTTACATTGATATATCCTGTTTCACATCTTTCAAAACAACTGAATGCATTGAGGAGGCAGATAATGATAATGACAAAAACAATTAGAAAATTAATTTTTCTCCTATGCTCAACTGCTGATCTCTTTCGAAAAGAACAATTCAGGAAAGCCATGACTAATCTGAAATAGTAATAAACTGACAATTAAAACTAGCAAACAAAATGTGAAAAAAAAAAACAAGAAAAAAAAATTATGATGATAATTGCTGATGCTTTCACACTCAGCTCATCTCCTTCCTCTCCTCCTCGACTACTCAAGAAAACCGAGTGGCCTTGGCATAGTCATGTACCTGTCACGCCACCATCCACTGTAACCCAACCTTGTGTAATTTGATCCAGCCTCTATTCCAACCTATCCAAACATCCTGCTCTCTCTCTCTCTCTCTCTCTCTCTCTCTCTCTCTCTCTCTCTCTCTCTCTCTCTCTCTCTCTCTCTCTCTCTCTCTCTCTCTCTCTCTCTCTTTCTTCTCTCTCTCTCTCTCTCTCTCTCTCTCTCACTCTTTTTCTCTCTCTCTCACTCTTTTTCTCTCTCTCTCCTCTTTTTCTCTCTCTCTCTCTCTCTCTCTCTCTCTCTCTCTCTCTCTCTCTCTCTCTCTCTCTCTCTCTCTCTCTCTCTCTCTCTCTCTCTCTCTCGCTCTTTTTTTCTCTCTCTCTCTCGCTCTTTTTTTCTCTCTCTCTCCTCTCTCTCTCTCTCTCTCTCTTCTCTCTTCTCTCTTCTCTCTCTTCTTCTCTCTCTCTCTCTCTTCTTCTCTCTCTCTCGCTCTTCTTCTCTCTCCTCTCTCTCTCTCTTTTTCTCTCTCTTCTCTCTCTCTCTCTCTCTCTCTCTCTCTCTCTCTCTCTCTCTCTTTTTTCTCTCTCCCTCGCTCTTTTAATCTCTCTCGCTCTTTTACTCTCTCTCGCATTTTTTCTCTCCTTGCTCTTTTTCTCTCTCTCGCTCTTTTTCTTTCTCTCACTCTTTTACTCTCTCTAGCTCTTTTACTCTCTCTATCTCTTTTTCTCTCTTGTCTTGCTTTGGCACGGGGTCTAGTTCAGTCTATAGTTGCTATTCCTCCAGTATCATAATCTAATACTTTTTCATTTTCTTGCAACTTCTCCCTCTCTCTATTTCCCTCTCTCTCTTCATCCCTGGCTCCTACTTCCATATCACTTCCACCTCCCTCTCCTTCCTTTTCTAACTCTCTTTTTCCCCTGTCTACTGCTCTGTCTTCATCTCTATTTTACATAATATCTACAAATTCATATATCAGTTCTGGCTGCCTTAAAAATCAATATGTATCTTCCATAATAACACTGGAGTCATGTATTTCTATCCCTTCCTCTATTCTAACAAGGTTCCTGTTCCTCAGAACAAGACCAAATTATTTACTAGAAATTGCAATGGCAGTGAGAATTCTGACATGCTAATTATTAATCACATCTTATCTAAATCATTAGTATAACAGATGAACTCCTTGTTCGAAACAATACAAACCAATAGCTCTATATATGAACAGTTCAACACAGACCAATAATCTTGGGTGAATACAATTTCTAATTTGGGAATCCTTCAAAAGACAAATAATGAACAGATACTGCATCATCAAGCCTCAAAAAGGAAATGTATGCCAATACAGGTTGGTTCAGATCATTAATAATGAAGGTAAAGATCTTTTCTATGTATATCGCAAGGTCTCTTTTTAGTTACTTATATTGCAAATGGAATTAAAGAAAACATTGGTATAAATTACAAAATTTACAATTTTGCATGACATAATTTTTCTAAAATCACTAATAAATGATTATTATATCTAATCCTGCAATGTGTCTGTGAATAATTTTGATTAAAATCAGCTAGCCCATGATGAATTTGTTCCTGTTTCACACAACAGATTGTTTGTCAGATTGTGTAGATCTACACCAGTAATAAAATATATGTCCAAATATGAATAAAATATGAAGGACATTATCACATATTATGTCATTGACACCAGTGATAGCATGTACATACATACCATGTACATGCCAACTCCACAGAGATCTAAGTTTAATGCATTTTCCCATAGCTGGATCCACAAATGCATAATCACCAAGGAGTCAGTTGTCTTATATAACTCTCCTCTCTACACTTTTCCTTCAGTTTTGGAATTTTTTGTTTAATCTTTAATAGCTATCATTAATGTTCATATACTAAAGATATTTATAATGTCAATAATAATCAAGATCATACTATTTTCATTAGATTTAATTTCTAATATTTTCTTATCATTTAATTTTCCATAACACACACTACATCACCAATAACAGCAGGCATGAATAGGTTCCTTGGCTTAGACATAGTGTTCTTTCTGCCGATGTCCCTATTCTATGGTCAGCGGACGGTAAAATTCACCCCTTCAAGCCCCTTCCTGAAGGACCAGTAAGCCTAATCATTCTAAGTGCTTTTGGCACTAATGATGAGGTCCCCATCACCCCACACTCAGCAAAAATTTCCCATGATGAGACTTTCCCATCACTTGCTCCTCCGCCAAATGTTTTGTATGACCAACCTTGTCCATCTTCCCCCTCAGCCAAATTTTATCATACCAACAAGCCCACATCACCCAGATCCAACAGGTTAATAACAGTATAGCTATCAAGAGCATTTGAAATATACATTTTTCCCAAAAACTCAAGAGGAGAAGAAACCAGAGGTCACATTGGCCAACTAATCAATTTCATGGTAACTAACCATTTGGTATTTTTTCACAATACTTTCGCATAACCGATTACAATTTTGTTATCAGTGGATTCATCTCACCCTCTAGAACACATGTAGGAATTATGAATGGGATTTTTTTTGTGTGTGTTGTGTGTGTGTGTGTGTGTGTGTGTGTGTGTGTGTGTGTGTGTGTGTGTGTGTGTGTAACAGTACTAAAAGTATTCTATCCATATCCACAAGAAACTTTCTGTAATCTGTGATGGAAAACTTTCTTTCTGAAGTCCAACATGACAGGGATGCAGTGTCAAGCTATAACCACAGCCTCCATACTTTGCGCACTAGCAAAGGCTAGCACACATCTGCTACACGCATTTTGCCAAGATAACTTGGACTAATTCCTTGCTTGACAGTAAATAACATAAGGTCTACAATTCTAATTTTATCTTACAAGTGTATACATGTTAGAAGTTTGCTGGTTTTTGCTAAAGTGCTGCCAGCAGAGTTCACATCAAACAAAAACAAAATCTTTCCTATCTCTGAACAATAAAATGATATCTTTATTACAAGTCACAGTGGAAAGCCAAGATCACTATGACATATGTTCCAACCAAGCATTAATGCAAAATTAATATAAATCATAATTATTATCAACAAGAACCCAACCAAAAGTAATCTGTCACAACCACTTGCTGCTGTAACCCTTTCTCCAAGACCTGTTGCAATTCTAAATAAGCACATGAAAACATTTTTTTTTTTTTTCATCTCTCCAATCCAACACCTCCAGTAACTATTCAATGCAAGAAGTATCTTATGTGGTCAAGTAAAATAGTTAAGTCACTTAAGGTCAAGTTAAAAATAAAGTAAAGAACCTACTGAGTTTCCAGTCCATCTACAAAACTAATCACTACTGGTATCAAATCAATAATTATCTGATGATTACATTACTGAATAAAACATTTCATGATAGCAATCAAGTCATCGCAATCTGGTCGAGCGAGTATTTTCTGTCGATGCCCATGTAAAGACAAAATTCACACAAAACCACAACACAAAACCAATGCCTGGTTCTAAAACAACAGTACAGTTGGGCCCACAATATGTTTTAACTGCCTCCCCCAAAATCAACACACAAGAAAAAATCAAAAGTTTTCCTCACTCCCTGTGACATTTCTGCCCCAATCAACTCAACAGAGTTTTCATAACCATGACACTGCCTCCACCAGCCACTACCACACCCAAAAATTACAACCAGCAAAGACAGAGTCAAATAAGACATGGCAAGCAAGAATTACAAATGTCTCCACACCCAATTTTTTCCCTCTCACTCCAGGCCTATATTCACACTTCCTCTTTGCTTCATCCCTTCTTTGCTTTTTCCCTCTCCCTTCCTTCCCTTAGTTCAACCCTCATGCCCTTCATCATCGTCATCCTCTGAGGCAAGAGTGCCAAGAGTAAGAATGACAAATAATGAAGGAAAAAAAAAACAAATTCTGGGCCCATCTACACACTTCCTCTTGATTCCTCCTCCTGCTCTTGCCCTCTTTGCCGTGCCCCTGGCCTGCCCCCTGCGCCCCTCGAGCCCCCTGTGCCGGCCAGAGTGCCAAGAGGAAGAGGCAGGAGTGGGCAGGGCACCGAGGAGGCGGCGGAGGGAGGGCGGCCGAGCGACGTGCCCACTCTGCTTGGCCCTTCTCCTCCCGGACTTTTTCCCATGGGCCCTCCACGGACTCCCAAAGGCGCCCAGGAACGCGAGTCGGCGTGGTTCCCTTCGCCGTGGAAAGCACAAGTCGCAGCCTCAGGAGGAAACAGTAAACGACGAGCTTCTGTCCTTGAATGTTTTGACAAGAGGCAAGGCAGTAGACGTGGCCTGACATGCACCTGACTTACTTTGTGTGTGTAGCCGCCTGGGCCGCGCTCCCGCGCTAATCTTCACTGTCACTGCCTCGTTCTTGCTTGTGTGTCCATAACGTGTACAGAGAAGGCTTGCGGCGGCGAATATTTAGGCGAGGAGAGCCTCAACTCGGCGGACACATCTCTCCCTCCTCCCTCGGCGACCCGACATCCGGGAACTCGAGCTTTCCACGGCTGACAACCCTACCGAGGACGCAGTCGCAGATACACCTTGGAATATTTGCTGGATTTTCACACGTTCGGGAGATAATTCTCAATGATATTCTTGCCAGATGTGGTATTTTGGGGGTCTCAAATCCATTTGGCTGCTGAATAATTTATAAATAATAGTTCACACTTCGTTATAGCATGGCTGGCAACTTTTGGGAATGGTGACTCGGGAAACACGGAAACTGGCAGCCCTGGCGGCGCTCACCTGGATAAGCCCGAGGCAATTATGACAGGTGCACAAGAATCCGACTTTCCCGTAGAAGCCTTAATTTAACCTTACTCGTCTACTATGTTCTACTACAGCATCTCCAAGATGTAGAAATTCAAAACTTTACAGTTTGAAGTGTTTCGTTGAATTTAGAAATCAGAGGGGATATGATAAAATCGACTCGGAAATGTGGGCAACTGATACCTCCTCCCTCGTCCATATAGCATACCAACTATTATTGAAAAGTTTCTATGTCCCGACGTTTCAAATTTAAAAATGATACAGCGAAGAAACCCGTATCTGGCATCTTCCCTTGAGTATATTGTGCATAACTGCAAGAGACTGAGGCATTTCAATAGCATTGCTTAGCCCATTGTATTTTTAAAGTACAGAAGATTGTTAAGTCATTTTAGTATTTCGATAGGTTTCCTTTAGATTATCTACAGTTACGGTAATAGTAGGATATGGTGAGTCCTTTTCTGCATAAAAATGAATAATTGCATACGCCGTAGATGAAATTTAATCGATATATATTATTGACTTTATCGCGATTTTACTTAGAGAAATGTTAGATAATATATCAAAGGGCAACTCCGTCTGTCTGGCCGAAGTCTGGTAGCATCATTCCAGACAGAAACGCCGTTCCAATGCGCCACTTCCATCAATTTAGTCTGTTTTTATATTTTGAATTATCCCACTTCGTTGATACTGACTCAATAAATGACTAGCTAGTGGCTTTTGAAAGAGTTGTATGGCCCAAGAGCAGACGTTTGACAGAGGCTGCACTCATGGCATCGGGGCGAAACCGGAGTTCGAGCCAACGGCATGGAATCGGACACAGTCAAGGGATGCTGGGAGGGATGCTGGGCTGTAAGGGAGAGGTGCCGCGAACTCGCTTAAAAATTCATTAACTAAATATCACGCATTATACTTTGGCCATTTCGTATATTTCCACGTGTGATACTTTCCTCATTACTTTGCCTCGGGGTTGGGGGAAGGCCAGTTTGCCTGCTTGCATAGTTGGCCAATAGATCAGAATCTGAGTTAAATATATGACCACTAAAAGGCAGGTCGAGTCATTTCCCTGTAGCTATAACAGGTGTTATGCTATATGCCGTAGATTTTGCCCACGTCACCAGGAAACTCGCGATGCTTAAACGCACTGGAACCTCCTTGTTATTGGAAGACTTGGAGCCTTGGAAAGAAGTACACATTACGTATACATCTTTTCGTATGCACTATTACCTTTTTCCCTCAGCCACGTTCCCGGCGCGGCACGTGCAAGCAGCAAGCAAGCATGCGAGAGCACTCTATCCTGCTTAATAATTGTCTTACGCTATTACACCACGAGTTACCATGTAGTTTATGATTATCGTTTTAAATCTCGAAGGCTGTACATGTCATGCAGGAAAGAAGAGGAGTGCATGCAAGCAGCTATTTCGAGCCACGCATAGTAGGTATCTCTCGAACGGGCTGCCGCAGCCGCGCTCGAGACGCACATTAAACATCTCTCCGAGCCCGTGGCGCGGATTAGATTAGGCTGCGATAAGTCAGTATTACGTTGCGCAAGTAGGTCTAAGATGTTTTGCAAGGCGTACATCCAAACGTATGAATGCACGCACACCCACGAGCGCGCTCACTGGTGTGTGCGGTAAGTGTGTGTTTGTATATATATACATGTGTATATGTGTGTATGTATATATATATATATATATATATATATATATATATATATATCCAATCTTCTGTGTAAATGAGATTACGGTGAATCGAACAAGAAGTTGTGTTCATCCACGGAGATAGACGGTATCTGAGAACAGCGATGTTCACGGGGATTTCGACCCTTGTAACCCCAGGCTTTCTTAGCTGAGAGGGAACACGGCGCGCTCGAGGAAAATGAGGTCAAACCCCCCTCAACACATTTCCTCCCCCCCCTCCTGCCAACTTTAGCGCTCTTTCTCTCTTCCATTTTGTCTCGCGCTCTCTTTTAATTTGTAGGTTTGTGTAAATTGTTAGTTTCCATTTTTTCGCAGGTTTATTTTCCCAATGGATGTTGTTTCTTCTCTTTCTCCCTTCTCTCTTCTCCTTCCTCCCTCCCCCCCCTCTCTCTCTCTCATCTTTAATCACCGATAAAGAAAAAAAAATACTATATACATATACATATCCTCTCATATCACCGAATTCAAAATCATTACGTCATCATGTAACAAAGAGCAGACAAGGTGGGTGGAGAGTCGGAGCGGGGGAGGGAAAGGGGAGAAGGGGGGTGGGGGGAGTGCCGCCAGTACCTGAGGTGTGGCGGGAGTGTGTGCGGGGGAGGGGGTGTCTGGGTGCAGGATTTATATGCCAGTGGAGAAGAGCGGACGAGGGAGAGGGATTGGGAGAGAGAGAGAGAGAGAGGGAGAGAGAGAGAGAGAGAAGAGAGAGAGTTGAGAGAGAGAGAGAGGATAAGCGGGGGAGAGAGAGAGGGGGGGAGGCATAGGAGAGCGTGAGAGAGAAGGGGGAAGAGAGAGGAAGAAGGAGGGAAAAGGGAGAGAGGGTGGGGTGAGAGAAAGAAGGATGAGGAAAAAAAGAGAGAACTGGGGTGAGAGAAAGAAGATGGAGGGAAAAGAGAGAGCAGAAAAAGACGGGTGCAGAGAGGGTGTGGTGAGAGAAAGAAGAGAGAGGAAGGAGGGAAATAAAGAGAGAGTGGGATGAGCAGAGAGTGAGAGAGAAGAGAGAGAGAGAGAGAGAGAGAGAGAGAGAGAGAGAGAGAGAGAGAGAGAGAAGGTGAAAAAAAGAGAGTGAGAAGGAGGGAAAGAGGAGAGGATAAGAGAAAAAGTGAGAGAGTGTGGTGAGAGAAAAGAAGAGAGGAGAGAGGAAAGAGAGAAGGAGGGAAAAGGAGAGAGAGGAGAGAGAGGAATAAGTGAGGAAGGAAGGAAAAGAAAGAGAGGTGGGAGAGAAAGAAGAGAGGGAAATAGAAGAAAAAGACTGAGAGAAAGAAGAGGAAGGAGAAGAGGGATTGATGAAGAGAGAAGCAGAGAGAGAGAAGAAGAGATAGAGAAAGACTGGAAAGGGAGGAGGAGGAAAAGAGAGAGAGGTCAGGGACAAAAGAGAGAGAGAGAGAGAGGGAGAGAAGGAGAGAGAGAGACGAAAGACTGAGGTGGGTGAGAGAAGGGAGAGGAAGGAGGAGGGAAAAGAGATAGAGAAAGGGTGGGATGAGAGGAAGAATGGAGAAGGAAACATGAAAGGCAGAGAGGAGCGAGCAGGGAGGAAGAAAAACAAAATGAGAAAGAAGAGAACCAAAGAGAGAAAAGGGAGGAGGGGAAGAGATATAGAAAAAAAACAAGAATGAATGAGGGGTAAGAGAAATATATAGAAAGAAGGGGTAATAGGGAAAAAGTAAGATAAGAAAAGGGGTGGGGCGTATAGAGAGAGCATGGTTACCATCAATCACTTCCAATTCATTAATCTTATTTGTCATATCTATCTCATTAGATTTTCACATTAATTAGTCTATCTTCAATTGCACTTTTATTGCAATAATAAATAACTGACTACTTTCAATAGTTGGATTTGCTTCAATTCTAAAATTACAATCTTAATTTTGTACGATAATGTAAATCATTTTTTTAGATATATATAGGAGGAGACTGCGTACAGCCTCGTCATTTACAGTATGTATTTATGAAAACAACACTCTCAGATGATATAATTTGTGACGGCCTCATTATTAGAATAAACGGTGGATCGTTTGCCTTCAAATGAGTTTCACAATAAACGATTTGTTGGTGACAGCCAGGAAAAAAATCTATATTATTATTGTTTTCATTATCATTATCATCATTGTTATCTTTATTACTGTTATTATCATCATTATTAGTATCATTGTAATTGTAGTTTACATTATCATTATCATTATTATTATCCTTATTATTATTATCATTATCATCATTATTATCATTATTATCATTATTATTATTATTGTCATTCTTCTTATTATTATTGTCATTATTATTATTATTATTATTTTATTTTATTATTATTATATTTATTATTATTATATTATATTATTTATTATTATTATTTATTATTTATTACTATTATTTATTTTTATCATCATCATCATCATCATCATTTTCATTATTACTATTATAATTTTCTTTATTGTTGTTGTTATTAATCTTCATCATCGTTATTCATCATTATTATTAATTATTATTATTATTATTATTATTATTATTATTATTATTATTATTATTATTATTATATATTATTTATTATTATATTATTATTATATTATATCATTATTATTATTATTATTATTATTATATTATTATCATTATTATTATTATCATTATTATCATTATTATTATTATTATTATATATTATTCATTATTATTATTATCATTATTATATTACTATTATTATATTATTATCATTTATTATCATTATCATTATTATTATTATTATTATTATTATTATTATTATTATTATTATTATTATTATTATTATTATTATTATTACTATTATTATTATCATTGTCATTATTATCATTATCATCATGATCATTATTATTGTTTCTGTTGTTATTATTTTTCATTTTTATCACCATTATTATTATTATTATTATTATTATTATTATTATTATTATTATTATTACTATGATTATTATCATTATTGTTATCATTATTATCATTATTATCATTAATAATCATAATTATTTTTCATTAGTATTATCATTATTATTATTATTATTATTATTATTATTATTATTATCATTGTTATCATTATTATCATTATTATTTCTATTATTATTATCATCATTATCATAATTGTTGTTGTTATTATCAT